AGCAACTGGGACTTGCTCTTACTGCCTACAAGAAACTTGCAGCTTCCCCTGCATCAGACCTGCCAGCATTTTTAATGGTCTCTTGGTTACCTTTTAAATTGAAGGTGTTGTCAGATGTCTGACAGTGTCGTAGCTGCACTGTAAAGACAGGCACTTGAATTTCCCTGCAATCCTTTCCTGAGTGTTTTACTGCAGTTCCTGTTTATGAAAGATACAGGTTACAAAGACAGGGCATTAAGCAAAGATGTTGGGAACTATTAGCTCCAGTACTGAATTTAGCCAAGCTACCTGTGTGTCATCTATCCTGGGTCTGTCACAAGTTCCTAGACCACAGCCCTTTGACACGTGGTGCCTTGCCCTTTTTCTCCTCCTCCCTTGACATCAGCATATCTAGAGACTTCAGTAACAGCTCTCTCAGAGCGTTTTGGGCTTTGCTTTGAGTTTTCAGACACTAGGTAGTGAGATACATCACCAGAGGTACGCCGTACAAGCGTGTGCTGATTTAAAAGACCTTTGTGGGCAGCCTACAACCAGGTACAGTCTATTTTAAGGCTTAAAACAACAATGTGTATAAGTAGTGGATCATGTTCATCTCTCTGCTCCTCTAGCAGTAGCGATTGAGTCATAGGATGAGAGTTTGCTTTGCTTTATATGTGATTTTTTTTCCCTTACAATCCCAAGGTTCTTACATCTATTACCTCTCCAGCAGCATAGCTAGAGGTAGATTGCCCAAGTGACTACATCTCAAAAGAAAGAGCAGAGAGTAGCAACTTCAGGATTTAATTGCCAAACATTTTCATCACCGGGACTGCTTCCAAGTTTTTCTAGAAAAATACCGTGCCTGTTTGGAGCTTATTGAAATTCTTCACAGCCTTTTTGCAGGAGACCAGAAAAGGCCCTAGCCTTGTGCTGCATGTGTAAGTGATTTGTTGTGAAAGAGCATCCAGTTTCTGGCTTGAGTCATGCTCCTTGTGTCCTTCTTTGGTGGGTCTGTTGGTTGAGTAGGTCCTGGAGCCACAAAGACTCAAGCAATGTCTCAAGAGTGGTGTGAGGACTTGGAGTTTTCTCCAAGCTTAGAATGCCTCAGAGCAACACCACCCCAAGGAAGGGAGTGCCTTGTAACTGCACCCCTCTTATAGTTGGGAGCATCCGTTGCACTGGCCTGGACATTCTCGGCTGTTGGGGAAGCTTTGGCATAAATGCCATCAATGAGTCAAAGCAAGTGCCAGCTGTCCACACTGGTAGAAGTGTTTCTAGGGTTATCCTGAACTGTTGTATTCTGAACATCTGTATTACTGGTTTTGCTGGTTAATCCATGCACACAAACGCTGCAGTGTAGGGCAGCATTTATCAGGTTGGCTCTGCTAGCATTGAACAGCATTTTTTCAAGTCTATCTGATAACACTTTCCAAAAGCTCCAACCCCGCATCACTTGTGGATAAAAACTTCTTCTTACCCAATGGCCTAACCCAAGTAGTTGTAATGCCAATAAGGAGCCAGATCCCAAAGGTGGCTCTACACAAAGCCTTTTTGCTTTTATCCAAATGACAAGCTTGCATTGTCTATCTCTGCTCATGCAAGAGCTTTGATTAGATATAGAATTTTCTTCTCGGATCTCCACTAAAGCTCTGTTGGGATGTTGACCCTTGTCATGGCTCCTGCCGATTGGGAAGTTTTAAAATTAATTAAAAAAAATAAAAAACCAAAACCCACTTGTATTTGATATAACCAAACCCTACAGCTTAGCCCAAGTCAGCAGCTTTCCAAAGGAGCCTGTTTTCTCATTGACTATAATTCCCAGTGACAGATTCTCAAGACGAATGTCAGCAAAGCATAATCTCTTCTTCTGAACATCCCAAGCTGAAGTGTGTGGAGAGCTCAGGAGGAACAGACCTGTGCCCATCTTGTTTTGCCCATGCAGGTGTGTTAGAACAGGCTGAGCGACTTGGTGAGCAGCTTACTCTGAAAATATTTCCAAATTGGCAAAATTATACTCTGGAACCATCTCTAAATGCTGCCCTGAAAAAGCTTGTATACTGAGACACCCTGCCTGCTGCCATGTTCTGAGTCAGATTCTCTGGAGCTGACAGCTGCAGGGGAGATGATTTGCAACTAGCAATGCAATTTTTCTATATCTGCTGATGTTTACCTTTAAAATTCTATATATAAATATATATAAAAAACAATGTCTTTAATTTTTTTCTTTAATTTTTGTTCATTTGTGTGGTGTAAAATGGAAGTCATTGCGAAACAATGTAATTTTGTTATCTTTGATGCTGTGGGATTTCTTTATTTAAGAATAAAGGACTTATTGAAGTCAGTGCTACATGTAGTGACTGTGTGTGATGTTATTGGGTGATGAAGTCCAGCTGTCACTCCTGATGGGCAAAGCAGCCAGGCTTTCTTACTCCCTCTACAGTAGAGAGAGGATCATCTGATGTGGGAATACCTTGGGCCAACAAGGTAATAGATTAAAATGCAACTGGGTGTCTGAATGTGTGCCTTCAGTTATGAGATTTGGGTTAGCTAAAGGAGGAGTAAGGAATCCTTTAGCCCCAGACCTGACACTTTAATTTCGTACTAGACGTTTGTTTCTGTTCACCTGGGGAAGGGCTGTCCTTATACTGCTGTGGTATGCACCAAGGCAGGAGTTGGCTTGTTGCTCCTTCACTTCCAGACAGGACAACTCCTGGGTTGCTAGCTGAGGGCTGACTTTATCTTCTCGCTTCTTTCTCCCTAGCAGCGTGTGTCACTAACCCTAATGATGCTCAGGTCTTTTCTACTTGATTTTTGTCTTCTGTCCAAGGGAGATCCCTGGTGCCTCTCTCATGGAGAACAGAGATGCCCTGAAAACCCTGAACAAGGGCTATTTTTGCCAGTGGGTGAGAACAGGTTCTGACAGTCCTGTGTCAGCCCACAGGATCACTTGGTGGCTGGCTGCAGAACCAGAGCCAGGTCTTACAGCTCTGCCAGGACTAACACCCAAAGCAGGGCCCAGGGCTTAGCTGTGACCCTGCAGTGTGTGGAAAGACTCCTCTGGGACGACAGCTTTGCTGGAGCGTGCGTCAAAGCCTCTGGCTCGTGTATCTCTGCAGAAAGTAATCTGTTATTTTTCCTTATTTGAGACTGAGTGCAGTTCCTAATCTTTTAGCAACTGGCAGGAAATAAGTGTCTCTGGCTGGGACACTGGCATATATAAAGGCTTAACCACTTGTTTGAGCCTAGGGCACAGAAAAGCCCTGCCAAAAGCAGTACTTGACTGACAGGAGAAGCTCACTGGATTTTGAGCTCACTACAGACAAACTGAGGCAGATGTGGAGTGTAACTGGGACTGGTGAGCTGTTGGGGCTGCTGGGCTGGGCCAGGACCATTGCTGCTCTTCCCCTGCACTGAGAATTGCTCTGTATGAGACTGTTTTGGGCTCCATCTCTAGTTTATTTGTCTTTGCAGTCTGACTGTTAGATCTGCTCTTAAACTCCTTCCTAGCTTGGTGAGAGTCACTCTGGGGGGAAGCTGAGGCCGGTATGGATCCTGCTCCCTGCTCTCTTTGCTGTGCTGTTCTCTTGTCTCCCCATCAAAGCAAGACACTAGGTGACAATTTGTCCTAGCAGGGATCTCCCAAGAGCTGTGACTGTCCCAGTCCAAATCACAGAGGCAGCAGCATGGTGCTCCCATGTGTGCATATGGGCTCTTTTTTTTGTCTTTCTGTTTTTATAAGTGAGCTTTGATTGTCTTCCAAGCAAGCTGAGCCATTGTGTTTGCACTGGCCCGATGGTTGTAGGGCTGTCATGCATGCTTTCCTTGGGACAGCTCCAGATGCTTCCCGGCCCTGTGAAGAGCATCTGTGCAGTAAGGAGCCAAACTCAGCAGAGAGGTGCCTTCTGCTCTCCCTCTGGGCTCTTGCACAAGGTTGGTGCAGCCTGGGACTAGCCATGGACTAGCCATGCTGCTGAGGCTGGAGAAAACAGATTTAACCCCCGTCGCCTCTGCCCAGACAGGCCCCATCCTCCCTGAAGCTTCAGAGCCGGCGTCCTGTTTGGTTTGAGCCCGAGCCAGTGCCTTGATGAATGCAGCTCTTGTCAGCACCCTCCACCTTGGCCAGCTTCGGGTGGGGGTCTGGTCCTCTGCTTGGCTGATGAAAGGCACTCGTGTGTAGCTGCAGAGTGGGGAGGGAAGGGAGATGGTGCACGCTGCGGGAGCAGCTTGACAGAGAAGAAGGTAACTGGGCAGAGACCAGTGCATTGCTCCTCTCTGAGCCCTACTGCTCACTGTGGGAGAAGGCAGTCTGGAAATGGATATAGGATTAGCTCCTTGGAGGAGACGCCTGCTTCATGACCCAGAACAGACCACTTTGCCTGGGCCACAGCTACTTCTGCCTCCCTCCACCCCACCCCAGACTTGCTGACTCCACATTAGGAAGGCCTAATTAGCATCAGGCACAGCTTGTTTGCAGTGCAGAGATCCTCCTCCTCTGCCCTCCGTGGTGGCTTTTGATGGGGTTTCCATGACTGAGCTCACTCTCAAGGTGCAGTGCTAGGAGAAACAGCTGCATTTAAGCTTTTGAAGGATTTAGGAAGGTATATTCTGCTTGTCTTTCACTGTCCTGTGATTAAAATCCAGCTCCTGCTCTTAGTGGCTGCTGCAGCCTCTGTTCCTCCTCCCTGCCTGCCTGGCTGAGCAGGAATTAGGCAGAGCCTGCTCCCGCCTGGGCCCCTGGTTGGGTTCTTGTTTGCATCTGTTTTCTCTTTCCTAGAACCAGCAGCACAGTGAGCACCTGTGCCCAAAAAGCTGCACCCTGTTCCTTGCCACATGCCACAAGGGATCCCAGAGCTCTGCTGTTAAACACTTTATTTCTCCCTCGCTGTAGCCCCCCCTTCCCAGAGCAGACACTTTCCTTGTCCTCCCACCACAGCTCCAGGACGTGCTGCAGGAGAAGGCTGGTGGACTCCTTTCTCTGCGGATCCAGAGGGAAGGATGCTCTGCCCAGAAGGGACAGGGCTGCCAGGCAGCCCGCTGCCAGGTTTGGGGAGGGGAGGGACAGGCATGGAGCAACGCACCCAGAGCGCTTCATCACGAGTAGTCACTCAACCACAACTACAGTATAAGGAGGCGGCTGGGGTTAGAGGGTCACCTCTGATCCTATTTTACAGAGGACAGGGAGCAGACCCTGGTTTAAAGAGCCGTGTCTTCAGCCTCAATGCGGGGCCCAAAGAGCTTCTCTGCAGTGGCTTTGCCATCGTACTTGGGCAGGTTGCCACCAAAGTCTGCTGGCAAGATGTCAGCGTCGATCTCCTGGTAGAAGGACTCCAGCTCCTCCCCGTGCACAAAGACCTGGCGGGAGATGAGAGCGACCCTCAGCCGAGGACCTGGGCAACTCCTCCAGCAGCTCAGTGTCACCCAGGGATGTGCCGCTCCCTCCTGGTCCCTTTCCCACACTCACCCTCTCCAGCAGTTTGCTCTTCAGGAATGGTTTGACCACGTTATAGGTGGTCGTGAAGTACCAAGGCTGGTGGATGAAGTGGACGGCCTTGAACCGGGCTGGGAAGGAGTCCTAGGATCCCAAACACAGACACAGATGGTTACAAGGGTGCTGGCCATGCAGAGCTAGGTGGGCAGCAATGGACACCCCACCACTGCTGTGACTCCCCTCACCCAATCTCCCCTTCTCTCTGGTGGCCCCTTTATTTGCTCTGACCCAGTGGATCAGCCATCCCAGTCCCAGGAGCACCATGGAAGATGAAGAGCCTCACAAATGGCTCTCGCTCCTTAAGAAGGACCACATCTCTGTTGTCCTCCTCCCCTGGGGAGAGCTGGGTGTCTTTGGCCTCTGGTGCAAGGAAAGAAATCCTGGAGTGCTTGCGAGTCTCCATCCACCCTGGACCAGGCTGAGCTGAGAGAGTAGGGAGGAAAGGCCTCCAAGCCATCCTGTAAGATGCTGCAAGGAGTGGTGGCGCTGCTTTTGGCTGGCCATTTGAGAGAGCAGGGAGCTAGGGCCAGAAAAATAGGATCCATCTTGCAAGATTTAGCCCATTAGCTGGCGAGAGAAAGGAGTGTGTGCCAGGGAAGAGCCTCTCCACGGTGCTTTCTCATGGTGCCAGTTTGGTGGCAATCCCAAACCCTGCTATCCCTGCCTTCACCCTGCCCTGAGCTCTCTGCTCCCCCAGAGCCTGCTCTGCCACAGCTGGGTGCAGACTTTGCCATTCACCTGCAGCATATCCACCATCTTCTTCAGCTCAGAGGGTTTGATCCCTGAGGCCTGCTGCATGGTGAAGCCCTTGAAGTTCTCAATGATGCAGAACCCGTTGATCTGGGTCTCTTCGTTTTCCAGCAGCTTTTCCAAGATAACGCAATAGGCACGAAGGATCTGATGAAGAGGAAAAACAGCAGGGTCTGGTGTTAGGTCTCACCTACCATAGACCCCAAGAGGTTCTCAGGAAGACTCCCACAGAGTGTTAGTCAGGGTCTGCTTGACTCCAGCCTGCTTGTCACAGTCAGCCCCAGGACTTCAGGGCAGGGAGGGCATTTCAGAGGATGCTTAACAACCACCACAGCTGTGTGCAGGGTGCACTCATCTCATATATGGATCAGGGATATTTTGTCACCAAGTTCAGATCTGAGCAGAAAATGGAGCTTGGAGAACTCGTGAGTTACAGGCCTGGAGACCTCTTTGCCAAGAAGCCCTTTCTGTGCCTTGTGCCTCAGTTTCCTTCTCTGCCCTATGAGTCCCTCCTTTCTAAAGCACTTTGATTTAATGGCCTGGTGCCTTTCTTCACCCCATATGACCTGGCCTGGGGGATACACACCCAGATTTGGCCTGCACCTTTCACTGCATCAGGGGGAAAGGGAACCCTTTGGGATGGCCCATGCTGTGCCAGGTTCCCTGGAAGGATAAATTCAAAGGGCTACAGATTTGCTTCAACTTGGGTGGCTGGAGGCTGTGCATGGATGTACACATATGCGTGTGTAAGGGATGCTGTGCTCAGATGTGCCGAGTGGGATAAGCCCAGGAGCGGGACCACAGCACTTAGAGAGCAGCAGCTAGGCTGACCTCGTCAAAGGTGATCTCCTCGTAATCCCAGTTCTCGATGTTGAAGAGCATCACCACCCGGCCGTACTTGTCTCTGCTGGCCAGGATGCCAGGGTAGCCGGCTTCGATGGTGCTGCGCACGGCCTCGGGGGTCAGGTTGTCGAAGAGCTCGGGGTACTGCTGGCGGAAGGTCACGTAGCCTGGAGAGAGGCAGAAATCGGGGAGGACAACAGTTGCTTCCCAGCTTCAGGAAGCCAGGGCAGCGCTAGGGGAGAGACAGGGAAGGCTCGCAATGGTGAGATGCCATTCCCTATGCCGAAAGCTGCAGACTGGCTATGCGCAGGGCTCACACAGCTCCAGTCTCCTCCATCACACTGTTATTTTCCCCATGGCAGCATGTTCCCACATGTACGTACTCTCCAACACCTCAATGAGCAGATACAGTAATTTTTCCCTTCATTTCCCTTCTCCCCTTCCTCCCTGTTTGGGTGACATCCCCCAGCTCTCCTCCCTTGGCACCCTGCAGGCACAAAACAAGAAATCTTGGTCCTGGGAAAATGCGGGTGAACAAAACCTCTCGTCTGGGAGCCAGCGCTGATAATTACAACTCATTATCCCCCAGGCCGACACAAAGAAGAGCAAAGATAGAGCCAGGCAGGTCCCCGCCGGTGGCCACTCCCTGGGCTGCCCTCCCGCTCCCCCTCCATCCCTACAGGTCACCCCCAGTGCAGGGAGGGGGTGCCACAAGTCCCCCAACCTGCCCCCAGCCCTCAAAGGGTCCCAGGGGTGCTGAGCTTCACAGAAGAATCAGTGGGTGCAGAACTGGCTCCTTACAGGGGTATGGAGGGGTGTGTATAGCGCATGTATGGGGCATGGGGTTCTCGAGGGGATGCAGGGCAAACCAGCTGGGTTTGCTGCACAAATAAAACAGCCTGCCAACACCAAATGTGTTTGGTTTTTTTCCGGTTTGTCTGGTAAATTAGCAAGGAAGAGGAATGTCCTGTCTTTGTGGGATGCCTGGCACCACCTTCATTTATTTACTTCCTCATCCCAACTCTTGCCCCTGCATCCTGAGCCCCCAGCCTTGCCTTTTTCTATTTATCCTCTCTCCTCATCTCCTTCCCATGCTCGGGTCCTGCTCTGCCAGCACAGCCCAGACCAAGGGGCTGAGAGGCTCCATCATGGGGCCAGGAGCTGCCAGGGGGACAGATAACCCTGTCCTCACCCAGTGCCACAGCCCGGGACACCTCCCCACCTTTCAGCAGGTCGTAGGCCCTGTGGACGTCGAATTTGCGGGCACGGATGAAGCGGAGGAAAAAGGAGTCGTCCTTCCCCTGCACCTTCTCAGCCACCGCCTTGCACACCTCCTCGCCACCCGCCCGCTCCTGCACCAGGTCCCGCAGCGCCTTCACCGCCACCTCCCGCTGCTCCTCTGTCTCGTTCAGTTCATCCTTTGCCTGCAGGGGGGAACAGGGAGGGGGCACAGCTCAGTGATGCACCCCAAAACATCCCAGGGGTCATTTAGGCACCCAAAAGCTGGGTAGCATGCAGTGATGCTCACTGCAGCATCCCAGTGTGGGGAATGCAGGGTCACCCTGGTCTCCTACTCAGAGACTCTCCGAGTAGGTGCATCCACCTTCCCAATGCAAAAGCCCATTGAGAGTCTCCTCTGAGCCCTAGAAGGAGCAGGTGTCCCCGGCTGTGCCTGCCCCTGCTCCCCACAGCTGCCCTCACCTTCTGCAGGGTGTGCGGGGGGATCTTCTCACACCTGCCAAAGACAGGGCCGTGGTCCTTGGTGGTGAGGCGCTCCAGCTTGGTGCGCAGGGCCTGCTCCTCCTCCGAGACGATGCGGAAGGTGCCCGTCTGGGGGCAAGGAGAGGATGTGGGGTCTCCCCAGCCAGCCCCCTAGCTGCCTGCTACATGGGTCCTGTGGAATGGGGGGGCTATGGGGAAAGGCAAAGGGGGTGCAAGGGGATGGGGATGGGCTGTGTGCCACCCAGGGTCCCGGGCATGGGCTGAGAGCAGCCAAGGTGTGCCCCATCCCGGTGCTGTGGGGAGGGGATGTTCAGAGCCCCTGGGGATGGGGTGGCACGGGGCAGTACTCACAACTGCAGACATGTTGTCCTCTGTCCTTTGTCAGTCACAGGACACTGTGAGAGGAAAGGAGGAATCAGCAGCAGTGGGGATCCCGATGGTCTCTGCAGCCCCCCAGTGTCCCATCCCCTGCCCCTCTTGCTCAGGCGAGGACATCCCAACCATCCCCATCTCCTTCACATCCTGCTTGCATCACTGCCTGCCTGCTGACAGCGGCTTTGAGAAACACCAGGGATGTTTGCAAAAGCAACTTTAAAACGGGGATATTGATCCTAACACCTTCATCCTTTTCTTCCAGGTCTGCCTTTCTGCTGGTGGTTGGGGACACCTCATGGGGACCCCCAGCCCCATGAGCTCACCCAGTGCTATTTCATCTCAGATCATCCTGATACGGGCAGAGGTGAGTACCCAGCTTTGACTAGGTGGCAACTGGCTCATGCTTTTGCTGCCTTTTATTTCCCAAGGCATTTTCCAAATCCTCGAGCCTCTGCTGCTCCAGCCCAGAGCCCGTCACTAGCTGCAAGGCTGAACCACAAGCCTCTCAGCATCTTTCCAATGCCATGTAGGTGAAACACCTTGTTCCTGCACACAGGAAGGAGGAGGGCTGCCTTCATCCTCCCTCCAGCACCTGACCCTTCCCCAGTTTGGCTGCAGAACCGGCTTTGAGCCGAGCATGTGCGAGGGAAGCTTGGCTCCAGCTCCATCTTCTTCCCCACCAGCTCCCACGGACAGAACAGACATCCCCTTTTTTCAGGCACTAAAAGCAATCCCAGTCTTAGAGGTGCCAAGTTAAGAGAGGGCTGAATGACAATCTCCAATGCAGTTAATTTGGGTGGAAAATGTCCCAGGTACTCACCAGGGAGAGGCAAAGCTGAACTGTCTGCAGAGGGTCAGTGCACGGGGCAGAGATGGATGCACAGACGGCAAGGCCGGAGTGGAACAGGAGGAAAGCCAGGCAAAAGCTTTGTAGAGTCACCGGGTTGGGATTAGACCGTCACAAGGCATCAACTCACTGCAGCTTTGTAATTAAGTCAGCACAGACCAGGCAAGAAACCCCATTAAAACATTACAAAAGGCAGCTGAGGAGAGGAAAGGAGGGAGCCGGGGCTCCGCCGGCCAGCCGGAGTGTGCGTGGAGGGGCGGGTTGGGATGCCGGACCCGATTAACAAAGTATAAAAGCTTCTCGTTGTGTAACTCACTCATTAGCACGGGGCAGGGGCAGAGAACGCGGCGGGCAGCCTGCCATCCCAGCCTGCTCCCCTGGGGCGAGCAGGCCAGGTCTCTCCCAAAGCTTCTGCCCCAAAAAGCCTGGCAAGGTCCCACTGTGAATTTGGCTGCATGGGCAGGGTCCGGCTGTGGGGAAGGATGATCCTGGGGCTGGTCCCGCTTAGGACTCTCCAATTCCTCCCCAACAGGGCCGCCCAAACCAGCATCCATACAGAGCCCCTTTCAGCTTTTAAAATGAAAAAAAAAAAGCGTACAGAAATTTTTATTTATGATGGCCACAAGTGATGGTTGCCCGTGTGGAGTTTTGGGAAGTGGAACCCAGCCCATCCCCGGGGCGATGCTGTAGACCTATAAAGGAGGGAAGCCCTGGGATGTGGCAGGGACCATGCTGAGCCCATGCGATGGTGCAGTGGGATGGCAAAACAAGGGGGTTTTTTGGACATCCACATCCCAGTGTGCTGAAGTCACATGTGGCAGGGGAGCCCTTGCAGACTTAACTCTTTTTGGGCCCAGGGTTGCAGGAGCTGGGTGAGGACACAGTGAGGATGGGGCTGTGCACAGCTCTTTTGCCAAGCTCAGGAGAGGAGCTCAGCTGGGCTCTTACCACAGTGGGGATTTTGGGGCTGAAAGGGCTTACACAAGGCATGTTTTGTAATGCCACCGGGATTTACAGATTTGGTTTCCACGGGGCTGCCCTGCCAATGGAGCAGAGACCCCGCTGTGAGGGAGGGAGGAGGAGGAAGGTGCTAGACTCCAGATGAAGGGCAGAGGGGAGCGGGGAGGGAAAACCAGGACCTGTGCCAAGACCCTGAGCAATGCCACTGTGTCCAGGGCGCCACGCACTGCTCTCCATGAGAGAAGCCCTGACCTCCCTGTCCTCTTCCCACACCAGCCCCAGTGCAAGGCTCAGCTCCCTCCTAGAGCTCATTGGACATTTGTCTGCAGCCCAGCGAGCAAGATGGTGTGTGACAGGGGGACGTCATCAGCGTGAGGGCTCCCAAACAGACCCAACAACCTTGTATTGGGGTGGCAGAGGGGACTTGTGTTCCCCTGGCTGTCACACAGGTTTTGCAGACTCATGACAATCCCTGGCATTACAAAGTGGGTGCATTGTCCTCGGAAAAGGGGTCTCAGGAGGGGCACCCACCCCAAGGTGTTGTGACCAGATCCCTTTGGGGATCTCTTGTCCAGTTCGGGTTATCCCCCTCCCCATGGCCCCTGGTGAACCCGCTCCCCTTCGTTCGGCAGCATCAGCTCCCACTCCCCGTGAGCATGGAGCTTGCGAAAGCTCCCATGCTGTGCTGGCACCAGATCCTCCAGCTAAATCCTGCTGCTTAAAGGCGGGCTAAACCTCCTCGTGCACCCAAGGCCATCCCTCGTGCCCCCCGGAATTAGGGTGTTTACTCGAAGGGATTCGTGGCCCACGTGAGTGGCACTCACAGGGGCCAGCGCTGCTGCTGCGGGGTGGCCGTGAATGGGCAATTCGTGCCGAGCACCTCAGTCTCCCCTGGCTGCCCTGCACCCCATGTGCCTGCACCCCACACTGCCTTGCACCCCAGGTGCCTGCACTCCATGCTGCACTGCGGCCATAGTGTGTACACTCCACACTGCCCTGCATCCAGTGCTGCCCTACACCCCATGTGTGTGCACCCCACACCGCTCTGCACCCCACATGCCTGCACCCCACATGCCCGCACCCTGCCGGACTCGAACCCGCGACCTCTCGGCACAGCGGGGGCAATGGGCGTGGCCGGTGGCGGGAAAGGGAAGTGAGCGCTCGGAGGCGGGAGCTGTTGCCCGGGTGACCGGCGGCTACTTCCGGGCGGGAATTTCAGGGTGACGGAGCTGAGCCCCGGGCGCCTTTGCGGCACCATGGCCCAGCACATCCTGGCGCTAGCGGCCGAGGAGTCGCCTGAGCGGCTTCAGGAGGCCCTGCAGAGCTTGGAGGAGAGCGAGGTGTGCGGGGAAGGGGTGGGGGGTGTGCGCTGCTGGGCCCTGTCAGGCGGACGGAGGTGGCCTCTCCTCGGAAGGCCTTGAGTGAAGTGCGGCTGACAGCGTCCCCTTCTCTTGGCAGCCGGGGGGTATGGTGGCAAAACAAGGCCGCGA